CCAAAAGAAAAACCTAAAAATCAAAATCAATAAAAATCTCAAAATCCAAAACCAAATTTTTCGTTTTCTTGTTGTTCCTGGTTTTAATCGGTCTTTCAAACTTTTCTTTAGGAGTTTCTCACACATGGCTTCAATACCTCTTGTTCTGGGTCTTGAATCTGAGGAGATATCGGAGGAGCAGAAGTCCTTCGCGGTGGCTGGGCGGATCGTTGCATTCAATCCAATACATCGCAACAATGTGTATGGGGTGTTAGCTAAGGCATGGGCTAACCGTCATGATTTTCAGGTAAATGAAATTGAGGAAATTTTGTATACTGTCTCTTTTATGAATGAATATGATCTTAGCTATGTGCTGGATAATGCTCCCTGGGCTATTGGGGGTTTTCTTTTCAACCTAAGATGATGGGAGGTAGGCACTTTATTGTCGGATCTGGATTTCTCCCTTGCTCCTTTTTGGGTTCAGGCTCATAATCTGAATATAGACCAGTTAACATACGGTAATGCTCAGTTTATTGGTAAAAATATTGGTATCCTGATTAAAACCAAAAACCCTAGAATCAACAATGTTCTGCGGAGAGGTTTTTTACGTTGTAGGGTTTTGGTTGATGTCACTAAACCTTTAATGGACGGTTTTTGGTCCCAATCGATTTCTAAGAGCTCTAGGTGGATTTCGCTAAAATATGAAAGACTCTGATTTTTGTTATAACCACGGAAGGTTGGGGCATGGTGAACTGATCTGTGGGGAGGAAAAGGTCATGTCAGTTCTTGATCCTAGTAAAGGCATGTATGGGCACTGGCTGAGAGCTGAGCAGGTCAGAGATGAGTGTAAGAGTGCTGGAATTATCCATACCACTTTTAAGTGCAAAGATAAGAAGCTGTGCCTGACCTATTCCCCTACTAGGGTACTGAGCAACAAAGGTAAGGGTGCACTAGGGGACTGTGAGGGGTCTGCTATCCCAAAGTAAGTGATTCTATGACTCACCAAGCTCCTAGCTGCAGTCCTAGTCCTGCTATGAAGGAACCAAAGCATAAACTAGTTTTCAAAACCCTTCTCCTTTGAAAGTGAGCAATTCTGAGGTAAGCAGTCTCAGCCTTTCAAAAACAGCCCTGACATTTAGTGAAACTACTGCTTGTTCTTCTGGCGATAAGCTTGAGATTATTCCTGTTACAGTCTTCAGTGAAGAGGGCAAGGATCAAGGGGCTGATAGGGGACAGGGACTGACAAGTAATGTGCAGGCCATTATCCCTGTTACTACTTGTATTATGAAAGCAAATGAATCAGTGTTGCTTACCGTGTGGAGCTTCCTGGTGAAGAGGTAGGGGCTGGCAGGAAAGGGGAAGAGGCATGGCAGAGCCCTAACCAAACTATGCCTGCTCAATTGAACAACGTTTTAAAGGGGTTGACTCTGAAGAGGCCTAAGCCAGGCAGTCTGTTGAGCCCTACAATGAAGAAGCTTAAGCCTAGCCAACTTTTGAGGGAGAGTCATGTGCTATCTCTACGTAGCGCTGTGAGAGGTTCTATTAAGGTTGGTGGCTCTAACAACAACTCTAGAAGAAAAAAGAGGGGTCCAAAAATGAAGATATGTCTGTCTATAGCTCAAACAAATATGATGGTTGATGAAGTTAGTTCATGTTCCTGTTGCAAATTTTGATGGTTTTTTCTTTGGAAGGTCAATTGAAGCTGGGTCTAGTGGTTACCCTGAAACCACTGTTCAGCCATGAGGTTGCTGTGGTTTGGCAAGCTTGGGATGGGGTCTTCCTAGGCTTGCTTGATGCTATCTTGTGGCTCATATTTTGACCGTAGTTATGTTTTTTCTATGTTTGTGTTAAGCTTGCTGTTGGTGGATATTTTGTTGTGTTCTCGTTTCAAGAAAGGATTGTTAGTGGTGGTGAAGATGTATGGCTGGAGTTGGTAGAATGGGATGGTCTATTAGAGGGGAGATGGACTGTGGATGAGAGTTTCTCTCCACTTAAGGATGCTGGCCCTTCTGGCAGGCTATGCTGTTCTACTAAACATCATCAAGGTCATCATCAAACCTTCATCTGCTGCTCAGTGGGTGCTCCGTGACAAGGGGTAGCTGGAGACAGGTTGCCGAAGCAGTTTCTCTGGATTAGCAGCTGTGAGTCCTTGAGTACATCTCCACCTTTCTTCTTCTTTGCTTTGAGGCGTGGAACAATGACCAAGCTTGTGATAAGCTACACTGTGGGGCTTGAGCTGCTGACATCCTTCTTGATGTTTCCTTCCTTGCATTTTGTTTTCAATGGTTTTTGGTGTTTCTGTCTGTTTGAACTTTGTGTAGCCACTGCTAGTAGGAGTGGTGGCTGTGTATATGGAGTTTATCTTATCTTTCTGTAAAGACTTTTTATTTTGTTCATGAATACAATGTTTAGTTTTCCAGCCAAAAAAAAAAAAAAAAAAAAAAAAGGGAGAAAAAGCCTATTATGCCGCCAATGTCACCAGCAAATCCTCATTTTTAAAAACTTGAAATATTAAATTTGAATCTTGAGTTACATAGAAGGAAAATTGGGAAAAGTGGAGGATTAATTCGATTTATATAACTTATTCTAATGCACTGAAAAAGAGAAATTACCGTGTAATCAATGAGATACTAATAATTTGGAAATTTGGAAGGCATTAAGTATTTTCAGTTCAAAATTAAAAATGACAAAAACGTTGTTAATGGAATGCTTAAGCTGGTGATTAAGGGGCTAAAAAAACAAAATTTTGATTAATGGGGTAAAATAGCAATCGGAGTTGAAGGGCAACCGATCCTAGTGAAATGAGCCTAGACAATCTAAAAGCCCCGAGCACTCTAAGCACGCAAGGTTCACCATTTTTCTACAATCACATTGTTTATGAGAGTACTGTTGTTTATTTGTAATGTTAATTTCTTTGCCTTATGTCTTCTATTGCATTGGTTTTATTATACTTAAATCATGTAGTTTAATTAATGTAATAT